ATACGCAAAATGGAATGTAATGCTTTCTGTGTTATAAATGCACATCAGTTACCATGGTATCGCTTTGTTCACAAGGGAATTATTGTTTTATTTCCACGATTTAATGAACTTGCAGCTCAACTGCATCGATCATGAGAGATGAACAGATTGTTGCAGTGGAAAAATCACTTGATAGAAAATGATATAGATCATGAGAAAGGATTTGTCACCCACCATACCGACGGGGAAAACAGATTGCTCGAAAAATATGGCTAAAATATGTAAAAATTACATTCAGACATTGAGAGAGGTGAACCAATCGCCACATCACTATGTCTATCACAGGAGACAGACAGATCACCACACAACTATACCTATCACAGGAGACAGACAGATCACCACACAACTATACCTATCACAGGAGACAGACACGTCACCACACAACTGTACCTATCACAGGAGACAAACAGATCACCACACAACTATACCTATAGCAGGAGACAGACAGATCACCACACAACTATACCTATCACAGGAGACAGACAGATTACCTCACAACTATACTTATCACAGGAGACAGACAGATCACCACACAATAACTATACCTATCACAGGAGACAGACAGATCACTACACAATAACTATACCTATCACAGGAGACAGACAGATCACTACACAATAACTATACCTATCACAGGAGACAGACAGATCACCACACAACTATACCTATCACAGGAGACAGACACGTCACCACACAACTGTACCTATCACAGGAGACAGACAGATCACCACACAACTATACCTATAGCAGGAGACAGACACGTTACCACACAACTATACCTATCACAGGAGACAGACACGTCACCACACAACTGTACCTATCACAGGAGACAGACAGATCACCACACAACTATACCTATCACAGGAGACAGACACGTCACCACACACAACAACTTTACCTATCACAGGAGACAAACAGATCACCACACAACTATACCTATAGCAGGAGACAGACACGTCACCACACAATAACTATACCTATCACAGGAGACAGACAGATCACTACACAATAACTATACCTATCACAGGAGACAGACAGATCACTACACAATAACTATACCTATCACAGGAGACAGACAGATCACCACACAACTATACCTATCACAGGAGACAGACACGTCACCACACAACTGTACCTATCACAGGAGACAGACAGATCACCACACAACTATACCTATAGCAGGAGACAGACACGTTACCACACAACTATACCTATCACAGGAGACAGACACGTCACCACACAACTGTACCTATCACAGGAGACAGACAGATCACCACACAACTATACCTATCACAGGAGACAGACACGTCACCACACACAACAACTTTACCTATCACAGGAGACAGACAGATCACCACACAACTTTACCTATCACAGGAGACAGACAGATCACCACACAACAACTATACCTATCACAGGAGACAGACACGTCACCACACAACTGTACCTATCACAGGAGACAGACACGTCACCACACAACTATACCTATCACAGGAGACACACAGATCACCACACAACTATACCTATCACAGGAGACACACAGATCAACACAACAACTATACCTATCACAGGAGAAACACAGATCACCACACAATTGTACCTATCACAAGAGACACACAGATCATCAAACAACTGTACCTATCACAGGAGACTTACTGGAGAGGGAGAGATCACCACACAGCTTTACCGCTTATTGGAGATGGACAGATCACCACACAGCTTTACCGCTTACTGGAGAGGGACATATCGCCACACAGCTTTACCGCTTACTGGGTAAGTACAGATCACCAGACGACTTTAAAGCTTACTGGTGAGAGACATATCACCACACACCTTCACCACAAAAATTTACCGCTTTCTGGAGAGGGACAGATCAACACACAGCTTTACCGCTTACTGGAGGGGGACAGATCACACAACTTTACCACTTACTGGGGATGGACAAATCAACACACAGCTTTACCGCTTACTGGAGAGGGACAGATCACACAACCTTACCGCTTACTGGAGAGGGACAGATCAACACACAGCTTTACCGCTTACTGGAGAGGGACAGATCAACACACAACTTTTCCGCTTACTGGAGAGGGAGGGATCACCACTAAGGTCAGTCTCAGTCACGGGTGTTTAATGTACTTGTTTTGATGCTCTTTATTACATGTGATCAATATACTAAAGCAATGTGTTGAGTTTTCAACATCTAATATACATGTAAATGTATTACTAATCATTAGGCGTGTCACATTACAGATGTTCAGTATGCCTAACATGGCGTGTTTCATTACAAAATATAGATCTCCCGATCATATCATAAATACGGATCACTGACCTGCCTTCTGATGTCCTGAAAACGGAAATTTAATAAAGTTATCCTACTCAGATGTCTAGTGGTATCATATATTAGGGTAATGAATACGGACGATTGTTTTATCTTTGTATTTTAAACCCATGAGTAATCAATTGAAAATCGAATGAAATCAATTTACCAAACCTTAGATGTTATACACATGGGTAATCGGTTCATTTACTGAGTAGTTTTATGTATATACTGTTAATCAGACCACAAATCTACAGGTGTCATACACACGGGTAATCAACTCAGACACCTGGCGGTGTCATACACACAGGTAATCAATTCAGACACCTAGCGGGGTGGTACACACAGGTAATCAATTCAGACACCTAGCGGTGTAATACACACGGGTTATTAATTCAGACACCTGGCGGTGTAATACACACGGGTAATTAATTCAGACACCTGGCGGTGTAACACACACGGGTAATTAATTCAGACACCTGGCGATGTGGCACACATGGGTAATCAATTCAGACACCTGGCGGTGTCATACACATGGGTAATCAATTCAGACACCTAGCGGTGTAACACACACGGGTAATCAATTCAGACACCTAGCGGTGTCGTAGGTTGTGCTACACACAGGTAATCAATTCAGACACCTGGCGGTGTGGTACACACAGGTTATCAATTCAGACACCTAGCGGTGTCATACACAAAGGAAATCAATTCAGATACCTAGTCATAATACGGATGGTGACATACACACGGATAGTGACATACACATAGATAGTGACATACACACGGATAGTGACATACACACAGATAGTGACATACACAGATAGTGACATACACACGGATAGTGACATACACACGGATAGTGACATACACACAGATAGTGACATACACAGATAGTGACATACACATAGATAGTGACATACACAGATAGTGACATACACACGGATAGTGACATACACATAGATAGTGACATACACACGGAGAGTGACATACACATAGATAGGACATACACACAGATAGTGACATACACATATAGTGACATACACACAGATAGTGACATACACACAGACAGTGACATACACACGGATAGTGACATACACACGGATAGTGACATACATAGGAATAGTGACATACACACAGATAGTGACATACACACAGACAGTGACATACACATGGATAGTGACATACACATAGATAGTGACAAACACACACGGATAGTGACATACACACAGATAGTGACATACACATAGATAGTGACATACACACAGATAGTGACATATACACGGAGAGTGACATACACACAGATAGTGACATACACATAGATAGTGACATACACACAGATAGTGACATATACACGGAGAGTGACATACACACAGATAGTGACATACACACGGATAGTGACATACACACAGATAGTGACATACACAGATAGTGACATACACACGGATAGTGACATACACACGGATAGTGACATACACACAGATAGTGACATACACAGATAGTGACATACACACGGATAGTGACATACACACAGATAGTGACATGTTTTCGGATGAGAATATCACAAAAATGTATTTAATTTGCTTTTTGGGCATTAACAAATACCTTCAATAAAATCAATGTTAATATATATTAGACATACGGTAACCGAGACACCACCACCCTGAGAAGGTGTGTCACCATAACTGGGTAACCAATATACAAATGTATATGTTTGATGTACATTTACAATACAGATATAGAGGTATGTTTCGGGAGTCATTCTTATTTTGGTGGTACAAAAACATGCAACTAATGAAAATCTTTTAATTAAGATTACACACCACATCTAACAATTAATTTTCTTTTACAAAATACAGAAGTGTGAACCTTCCTTTACAGCTATGCTTAGTGACACAAAACAAATGGGGATGATTAAGCTATATATGAAATAAAGTACAAATAATTTACACCTAAGCATCGACTTCAGGAAATTAAAATAATTATTAATAGTAATAGATAAGTCGAAGACATGCCATTAAAATATCACTTAATGGCGCAATTTAGGTCAACAGATAAACACCATGAACATGTTGATTATAATCTTATGTAATCACAAATGATTTATAAAAAATGAATGAAACTTGTAAATAGCTACAACAGATTGGGTACATGATAAGAGCTAATAAACCGTCAGTGTCTTCATGGGAGTTGGGTCTGTCCATTCTTACTACCAGGATGAGAGACTATCAATGCATTTATAAAATTAAATGAAATTTAAATAAATAAATATTTCCATTAAAATCAACATTTTAACATTAAATTTTCCTTAAATAAGCATACCGAAAAAAACATACAAAAGACACGAATCTATATTTAGATACAGTAAAGCAAAAAAATTATTTAAACTACACCATACTGCTGTTTCGTCCTAGGACTCCTCAGTGATGCTAAAGGGGTTGACTGAGGAAAATCTAAACCGATCGAAACAGCTGTCAAATTTTAGGCTTAGATGGTACTATAACCCCAAAAATTTGATTGTAAGATAAAAAGACAAATTTCTCATTAAAATATACAAAAAAGAACAAAAGAATAATTGTTATAACTTACATTGTATATGACACATAGGTGTGTATATATACACCAGGCTTAACCTACGATTACTTACTTCTTGACTGTAACTCTTTTGGAAGGCCAGTCTTCGCTTGACCGTTTCTGTGTCCGATGGCATCGGTTTGGTCACCGAATTGTACACACTCGTTGACATACTGATGTTGCACAAATATTTTACTATTTGATGTTTTCAAAGATTTTTTTAGTCAGTTCAAAAAGTTAACAAACTCTTACTAAAAAACTGTTGAAATTAATTTTATGATTAACACACTGGTTTGCTGTGTGTTCACTGTAAACTGAGTTGCTGCTGTAATCAGTCCGGCATTTAAACGTTATTGGTAGAGTAAAAACCGCGCGGTTATTTCTCATAAATTATTCCCAATCGATATGATATTATCGTATGTTAAAACGTGTTCAAAAGAGGCAGGGATAGCGGCGAGGTCTTCTGTCTCTCTCCAGTATTGTTCTCTACCATTGATTGTTTGTAGAGACTTTTAGGACACACAACTCTGACTCGAAACCAAAATCTATAAACACTGATGTGAAATACTACTTTTAAAGTGCAATATAGGTACGTGGCACAGGATTGGTAACACTCCGGGATGGTATTGGGTCTGTGAGAGAGTCAGCGGCTGATGGCGTTGATCTGTGACAGGATTTCACGGAGCATGTCACACTACATTGTGGGCACGGCTCTCCCAACATACCGTTTCGTCAATGTCTTAATAAGCATGTCTTTGACACGGTGGCTAGAGTACGATCTCAAAGTTATGTCTCAGAACGGTTTCTTTATTATCTAATCTGCTAAAATCTGATAAAATAAGATTCTTAAATTAAACCCCCAAATGTTAAATTAAAACACTGTGATTGTTAAACGTGATATACCTCGAAGTTATTCCCCACATCCCTTCGAAATAATGCTACCATTTTGTTGTCATAGATACCCTTAGATGAATTAATTCAGTGACATTTACAGACGTTTGGCAAAATGTTTCCCTCTTCCACAAACTCTATTTTCAGCAAATCCCTGATATTTGTAATCGACTTTGATGCATGACTGGTCTTCTAAGTAACACGTGTTAAACAGGCAGAAGACCTTGTTACCACTTTCGTCCATGTTAATTCTTGATATGAGAAGGATATGTGGTTTTAGAAACACTTAGAGTTTTAATGTCGTTTCACAATAAATGCCAGCTTTTTAAAAAATACTTTTTTTTTAATGTTTGTGGTAATACAGCTGAAGACGCAAAACGTTTGACATTCTGCTTAAGGTTACGGCATTTTGTAGTCTCGTTATAAAATTAGTGATGACTGTTGATTTTCACACGTTTCTGTACACACCTATTAAAACCCTATTCTTCCTGTATTCATTGATGGTGTCTTTACTTTTCATGGCTGATACGATCTTAACGACATTTTTTTATTTACACCATTACTATTTTTGTCATAGAGTTAAATCGTTATGCCAAATGATACATTGTAATATGCTGTATACTTGTCATCGGTATAGTAATTTCTCATCGAGTTGATTTTTTTTTATTATTATTATTCTTAATATTCAATTTCTACTGCACGTGCAAGGTTTTTAATATTCTTAATGTTACGGTTTGACTAAATAGTCAGCAGGAATGAAATAAATGATATAAATTATTTGTCATGTAATTTAGACGGGTTTTTTGCCGTCCATTCAGTATCAGCACGGCCTGGGGATAGGTTTTGTTCCCATAGGAGGGATACCCAGTCCAGGAAAAATAAATAAGTCGATGTTACTTCATAAAAGGTGTTGTCGGTGTAATTACAACTTATAACCAACATGACAACTCCATACATGACTGCAGGTATGAATCGGATATTACACTTGTAATAAACTGATCCTTTAGTATTGTACAACACATAATGTTTAAATTATCTCACAAATAATTCAATTATATCATAAATGGACGAAATAAAGGCCACTTCAGATTCGATCTCGATCAACTCCGTAAGATATCGACCAACTCAGTAAGATATTGTGGAAAGCTGATTGAGGAAATAAGTCAGCTAAAAAAGTCCTGGTCATTCTTTTGTTCGGTTTTTGTCGCTTGACAGAAAATATTCATGGGCTGATACAAAGTTAATGGACGAATGCAGGTGTGTAAAAATTAATGTTTCGTCTCCTTGTGTGATGAGAGAGTAGAACCCTTTACTACTGCCATAACGCACACTGTTCGTTTAAAGTAGTCAAAGGAAAGACAAGTGATAACATTGCACCATCTTCGGAATCCTGTTGTGCAGAAATGATAGAATAAAATACTACTTAAATTTTAGAATGGTATACAAATGGGATTTTTTGAATGCAGTCCTGATAAATCACTGTATTGTATCTGTTGCGTATCTTTGACTATATACTAGTGCTTTACCAATCAAAATTTTAATTTTTTCATAGTAGCGTATATATTTCTTCTTATGGAGGTCCCTAATTAACGAAAAACACGTGTTTTAATAGTATTAGATACAATCCTATAAATAAATTGTGATTGGCAGAAATCTTATTAATGAATATTTTAAAGATTAATCAATAATATCCATAAATAAAATCAATTATGTATTAACCTTGTGTTAATTTACTAGAACATTGTTCATAGATTAACAGAAGGAAAGTATTTAAAAATCAATTATATCAAGATACGTTCAAGGTGCAGAAAGAATGGGCATTTTTTAATCAAAGGCTATAAAGCATAAAATTTCCCTCTGTGTCGAATTGCTGTTCTACAATTATATGCTGCATTTTAAACGACAATTACAAAAGTAAAATTTGTGAACATGGACGGATTTGAAACATGATATTGGAAAAATGATAAAAACAATCAATGAAAGAAAAAAAATATGCGCTTAAATTCGTTGACATTTTGTAATGTAAGCTAGATTAACTCGTTGTCAGATTTGGTCGGAGTGATCGAGCAAGAATCAGGTTTGTTCCAACCGACACTTTCTCGTGAGAGAATTAATTCAATCAGGAGAACCCCAATGTAAAGTAATCTGTTCCTTGATAAAATTAGAAAATAATACTTGTTACAAACAGAGGCTACGATGAAATATAGTTCACACTACAAACGTATTACTAGGTCTGGATCAGAATACGTTTTTAAATGTTTGTGGAAATATGACCATGGCTGCAAAATCTCCAGCATTTCTGCTGCTTCAGCTGACTTCATCTGCTAGTCCATGTATAAAACAAACTATTGTTTTGACATATTACTAGAGACCCATTAAAAGTCTATTATCCTTACCTTTATCCTTACCTATACATTAGCTGTCAAATTTCTCGTACCATACAGAGATTATGAGACATAGCTCATACGACAAATGTATTACTAAACAGTTACTACTGGGCTTACACCCGTCAAACAACGCCAATATTTTACAATAGATATGATGTATCGACTACCTCATTGAATCTACTATGCTAAACCAAACGAAGAAATATTAAATAAGAGCTAAAAGCAAGTGCTATATTTACCGGCCATGATTTACACTCACGCGCGGTATGATGACAGGCTATTTAGTGTATTGTGCTGGTGCTTTCTATGTAGGCGTTAAGTCGTTATAGGAAGAACGAGAGCTTTTGTTTGGTGTGTCGTTATTGATGACCTAACAAATTCAACACGTTAACTGTTGGACTGTTTTAGAACAATATTTGATACTTTCACCTTACTGATTAAGATCAATTGATCATGTGCGTTTATTTTCCTAATGGTATCGTTGAAATTATCGGGTTCATACACAACACTAAAATTTTGGCTTGCTTTTATACATCAATGGAAAGGATTCTTAAAATAGTTACTAGGTTTTTTTTATAATGAAATTTACGTCGTTCTACCATGGATTTTGCATATAGTTTCCTCTGTTTGACGTAACCATGCAACTTGAATCTAAAATATAAGCTAGCATCAGGTTTCTACGCGGTTTCATTTTTCATTTTCTTTTAAATTGTTTTCGGTTTGTGTCACTGAATACTTTAGATACGGGCTCAATATCTTTTCATATCCATAAGCACTGATAGATACTGCACGGTCCTAATATAACAAGCTTCAATTTACATACTGTTTATACTTACCTATTGATAACATAAATATGACTCAAATAGTTACTTGGCTACAACAAGTAGGTAATTGACAAAGATTAACGTGACGGGTGTCGTCGACGAAGCAGAGGAATCTAAATCTTCTGGAGCACCTGGTCTTATTCTCCTTTAACGAGGCCCTCGTGTAATTTTCATTTGTGCCTATATAGCTAGCGATGCTCCAGATTTCAGGGAAACTTACTTTGTCAGAGAACCTCTGGTCAATAGTACGACAATGAAAATAATATCGATGACGTGAGATCAAAGACTGATAAGAACAATACTGTGACAACGTTAGGAAATCCCCCCCCCCTGAATACAGATATACATCTTTTTATAGACAAATAGTTATGGACAGTATATCTAAGTATAAACTTAGGTATAAACACACACAGTGTATGTCTCATAACTGATAATCAATGACCGTATCGTCAGTAATGCCAGGGACCAAAAGTGATAACATAGAGCAATGTTGATGATGATTTACAGTTATATATCTTTAATATGTAAAACAATAATGAAGATAATTGCATGACCCCATTTCCATTAAATTGATACTTCAATTATAGAGGAGACATTTAATAATTTAACATAAAAATACAGTACATACAAGAATCTAAAATGCTTAAAGCTGACAGTATAAGTTAAAAAAAAATACGTGTTGAGATAAAAAAAAATCTAGAATGCTTCTCAGACCTCCCTTCTTTGCTACCGGTGTCTTCCGCCCATTGTATCTAAGGAAGTGGCAGACATTTTAGTCCAAGCCTTGCTTGGAAATGTATACAGGCACCCGAGGGTATAAAAGGCCTGTAACCTGTCAAGCCGATTATTAATTCATCTTTGGATATGTTATGTAAGATAAGAAATAAATAATATTTCTCCAGTTTTTTGGTAAAATGTCAACTTCCGGTTTTCGATAGGGATCAACGTTCAAAGATGAAATTTTCTTAAACAATTTTTAAAACTTATTAATACATATATTACATATTTGATATTTGAGATGTTCAGGACATTGCCTATCAAGTTTGTTGATACAAATGACCTTGACCCAT